TATCTAAAATTAAATAGCAGTTATTTATAAATATATAATATACTATAATATGATTATAAATTGATTAGATTCTACATTTTAACCTTTCATATTAACGTAGAAACAGGATGTTTATATCAAAATATAAATTGTGTAAAATTGTGTATCAATAAAAATATATAATATTTGTATAAATATTTTTAAAAAGTTGCAATGGACTATAATAGTGTAGACTTTTTAACCATTGAAATTAATGTACCATAGTGTTATATAAACATTATCTGAAATTATATCTGTAAAATAGTGTAATAATGAGTTACCGTATTTATTATGAGTTACAATATTTATATGTAAATGATCTACAAATCAATAGGAATTGAATATAATAGTTTGGTTCCCTGTCTAGTTTACCGCATCAGTTGATATTTTACTGATATATATCCAAACAAATCCCGCTCCCCGATTGTTTTAATACCCAGCCCTACACCGAACATCAGTGGTTCTCCTCCAGGTTTGTGTGTTAAACTTCTCTTTTGTTCAGGTGATGATGGAAGGCGGCCGCAGCAAGGGCTTCGGCTTCGTCTGCTTCTCGTCTCCCGAAGAAGCCACTAAAGCCGTGACGGAGATGAACGGTCGTATCGTGGCCACCAAGCCGCTGTATGTGGCTCTGGCTCAGAGGAAGGAGGAGCGTCAGGCGCATCTCACCAGTCAGTACATGCAGAGGATGGCTACCGTCAGAGCCGTGCCCAACCCCGTCCTCAACCCCTACCAGCCAGCGCCACCGTCCGGATACTTCATGGCCGCTATTCCACAGGTCAGAGGTCGCTTTCACCCCACTCAGTGTCATGTAGGCCTGTCGCAATAATCAATATATAGCGACATATCGTGCAGTATATGTGACCCTGGACCACAAAACCAGTCATAAGTGTCAATTTTTTTTAATTGAGATTTATACGTCATCTGAATACATGAGCTTTCCATTGATGTATGGTTTGTTAGGATAGGACATGACCTCAATTAGGGCTGGACAATAATGCAATAGCAATGTGTATCGCGATATAATTTTTTTCAATAACGGTGATATGATTTTTAAACACATTTACTTAGTCATGAGGTGCTAGTTCACATTTAAAAAATGCTTCTACAAACAAAGTTTAATCTGCAGATATGGCCTAGTTTAGAGATCTGACAGACATCTGAGTGCTGAGTAGTGATTGTGTTTCTCAGCAATAGTGTGCACTCTTAATTTACAGAGAAAAGAAGGTCAGGGAAAAATCTGCAGATGTAAAAATCGCCATACAAGTTCTTTGTGCATTTTTCTTTTTTTCTACTTGTTACTTTGCACTTTTTGTTAGAAAATGTTTATTTACTATTTATTCAAGTTCTTTAAGGTATCTAATATTTTGATACTTAATTTCCATGGTCTAAATATTCTAAAAAATTAAAAGTTTGTTGTCATTTGGAAGTGTGTAGGCCTTCTTGCATTATTATGCTGTTACATTGTGATTATATATTCAGTGGCATAAAATGGTCTTTAAAATGACAATAATATCCGTACATAACGCGGTGTAACTTAGTCATGAGGTGCTAGTTCACATTTAAAAAATGCTTCTACAAACAAAGTTTAATCTGCAGATATGGCCTAGTTTAGAGATCTGACAGACATCTGAGTGCTGAGTAGTGATTGTGTTTCTCAGCAATAGTGTGCACTCTTAATTTACAGAGAAAAGAAGGTCAGGGGAAATCTCTAGACAAGTTCTTAGTGCAGTTTTCTTTTTTTGCTACTTGTTACTTTGCACTTTTTGTAAGATAAAAAAGAAGCCCATTTATTCAGGCATTTTAAGGTATATAATATTTTGATACTTAATTTCCATAAACTTTTAATTCTTAAGAATATTTAGATCGTTGTCATTTGGAAGTGTGCATTATTATGCTGTTACATTATGATTATATATTCAGTGGCATAAAATGGTCTTTAAAATGACAATAATATCGATTATCGCAGTTATTTCTGGGGCAATATTTCGCACAACAAAAAGTTATCGTGCTAGGCCTAGTGTCATGCTTAAAGGTGTGGTCACTTATTATTGTTCAGGGGAATATTTGCTTGGGAATTGAGGGAGTAGGATTTCCCCACACAGGTTTCGCAACTGGTTTTTGTGAATTTATTGCATTGAGCAACAGAAAGCGACTTGTTTAAACGTGTATTTGTCTGAATGCTGATGTTAAAGCAAATGCTATCATAGTTTTTCATGCACGTTTAGTTTAACGGCTGTAATTTAGTAAACCGAAGACTAAAGAAATCACGACGGCGTTCAAGATGCTGGCTGTCAGAATAAAAGTCCTGCTTCTGAGGTATTGGTCAAGCAGAGGTCGTAAAGTCTCATCTTTTCACAAATGAAGGCCTAAAAAGGTCTTGTATCAAAGCAGGAAGTCGTTGCATTAAACGTTGCACGCACTGCAAAAAATGTATATCTTTTACCGTTTTGTTTTTCAGTACAATATCTAACCATTCTTAAATCAAGACTTGAGATGCAGAATTAACACAAAATCGTTTTCTAAGAAATTTCTAAGAAAAGAGTTTATGCTTAAAACAAGAACAAATATCTGTCAATGGGGAATTAGAATTAAGTTGAGTTTTGTGAAGTGTGACTGGTAGATACAGAAATTATTTCCATATTCTAGGTTTTTTTTTTTTTTATTCATTTAAAAAGATGTATTTTCAAACTTTGAAGTGCTGCTAATACAACTTGTGTTCTCCTTAGACATTCACACTTGGAAAATATATTGGCTTATTGATGTTCGCTTCAATTTATTCCTTAAATTTGGTCTTAAAAAACCTGGCCTTCTTAAAAACAGTTTACATTAGACAATTGAGCTCTTTTGTGCCCGTGGAAGTAACCGCGCATTAGCAGGCATCATGACGTGGTTTTTACTAGGGATGCACGATATTGGATTTTTGCCGATATGCCGATAATTTTCAACTCATTTTGGCCGATACCGATATATTATTTTTCATTTTTGTTAGTTTTTAACAAGAAATTATTTGTTAGAATTAAATAAACGATAATAAAGTTATTTTATAATGACCGTGCATTGAAGATTTGAAATAAGTATAAATAAACTATATATTAATCACTGAAATTAATTAAAAGTTTTATTTTTCAGAAAGATGCATGGTAACCGTAAAATTTTATTTTATGATTTAACATTTGTAAATGGTCTAAAGCAAAAGAGTTGTAAAAATTCTAAATCTTTTAGAGCTCATAATTTGTTTAAAAAATATAACATGTTACACATTAATGAACGAATCGGTATATATGAAATTTAATTTTAGTGTCATGTTTGTGATTTTTTATTTTATTTTATTGTTTTCATGCAAGCTATAACTTCTGACCTTTAAATCAAAACATTCTCATGAATTTATAGCATCAATTACTGCTTTATTTAATCAGAAACAGTTTAAATGTGTATTTTGCTTTCATTTTATTAGAAGTAGGCCATCAGTGCCCCCTACGGAATTAAAACTTCTTACCAAACACGTCATTCTGTATGTGCATTCTCAGTTTAAATGCAGCGATCAAAACCGTGAATCCAATCACTGCTAGCAAACCCTGAGCACATGTGAGTTAATATATACCTCTTATCGGCAAGACGTATCGGCATAATTTATCATATCGGACCGATATTTACATTTAAAGCCATTATCGGTCGATTCCGATATCGGTCCGATAATATTGTGCATCCCTAGTTTTTCCTCAAGCGGTTTCTCTCTTGTGTGTGATTGACAGGCTCAGAATCGTGCTGCTTACTATCCCACCAGTCAGCTCGCTCAGCTCCGCCCCAGTCCTCGCTGGGCCACTCAGGGAGTCCGCCCTCAGCGTGAGTAGCTCCGCCCACATTCCCTCCAGTACCTCCCACAGACCTCCGCAGCTCTTCGCTTCACTGCTTTGCTTCTCATTTCCGTTCCAGATTTCCAGAGCATGCCCAACGCCGTCAGACCTTCGGGGCCCCGTCCTCAAGCCTTCGGCGCCATGCGTCCAGCAAACCAGGTCCCGCGGGTGATCACGCCCCAGCGCATGGGTGAGCCATGAACCTGGCATTTATATGTGCAGCGAGCGCATTACTCCACAGCTCGCTGATCCTGAGTGTGCTCTGTGTTCCCCACAGCCATGGGCCCTCGCCCCACCGCCGCAGGGGCCGCCACAGGGACGGCTCAGGTGAGAGGAGTGCCGCAGTACAAATACGCACCTGGAGTCCGCAACCCACAGCAGCACATGCCCACTCAGCCGCAGGTGCCCATGCAGCAGGTACTAGCTTGTTTTTGCTGGAGCTCATGCTATTTACTCCTAAATTGATGGTTGCGATTTAAAATAACTTGAGAAAACGAGAACATGCATATCGCAAAATGTTAACTTATTTATAGAGTTAGATGTGCACTACCGGTCAAAAGTTTGGGATCAGTAAGACTTGTAATGTTTTTTAAAGAAGTCTCTTCTGCTCAAGGCTGCATTTATTTGATCAAAAATACAGAAAAAAACAGTAATCTTGCAAAATGTTATTACAATATAAAATAATGGTTCCTATTTTAATATCTTTTAAAATACAATTTATTTCTGTGATGCAAAGCTGAATTTCCATCATCATTACTCCAGTATAAAGTGTCACATGATCATTGAGGAATCATTCTAATATGCTAATTTATTATTAGAATTATCAATGTGCTGCCAAATATTTTTTTTAAACTGCGATCACAGAAATAAATTAGATTTTAATGTATATTAAAATAGAAAAACGTTAATTTACATCATAATATTTCACAATATTATTTTTTTTCTGTATTTTTGATCAAATAAATGCAGCCTTGATGAGCAAGAAACTCCTGTAAAAAAAACATAAAAAATCTTTCTGATCTCAAACTTTTGACCGGTAGTGTATATCCAACTATATCCACATGTATACATGTAAAGTGCCTGAATTTTAGTCGCAAAATGTAACTTCTCTAGCTCTTTATATGAAGTTGGATGTATAACTGTGCAACTTCATTTGCATGCATGATATAAATATACTATGTAGCAAATCTCAAATGCATGATTATATTATTGCAAAATGTAACTAACTATATATCATCGTCCAGCTCTAATCTGATGAATGCAACTATAAGGCATTAAGATATTATAAACATTAACATCATGGTTTTCTGTGAAGCTGTGTTGAAGCAGTGTGTAAGTGAAAAGCGTTTTGCTCCAGAACGTCAGATGAATGTCATGTTTGTGCACAAAAAAAGTGTTTGCTAACGTTTCTATATTTGACTCCCGTTCAGCCTGCTGTCCACGTTCAGGGTCAGGAGCCTCTGACGGCGTCTATGTTGGCTGCCGCGCCTCCACAAGAACAGAAGCAGATGCTGGGTGAGTTTATTCTTCTGTTCCTGTTTTGCTTTTGTTTTGTTTTTTCCCCCCGTGTGTTACAATGTGTCCCGTTTCATTTTATTTTTTTGAGCCAAAAATAAGTATCATACACTTTTACCATGAACACGCCCACTGAAATGACATTTATTGTAAGAATAGTTCATATACCAAAACATCTTGTCAGGCATGTTTAGAACCAGAATCATTAGATGTCATTAAAATACTCTTATTTAAGGATCGCAGCACAGCCCTAAAACATTAATTGTCATTTTAAATCTTTATCATTATCCTTCAAAACTCTAGGTATTACCAATTTGTCAGCAATGCATTTTTAATAATTTAAAAATAAGAATATATGTATATGTGTATATATTTATTTATTTTTTATTTAGTTGGTGTCAGAACTAGGTGTAGTTTCATTTTATGTAAATGTTACACTGAATGACACTGGAACATTATTTCAACCATATTTTGACAAGTTATTTGAAACAAAGTACTTTTCAAGTGCAATTGCATTTAATGTGCAATTTCTAATTTAAAAATTCAAATTCTATGTATATAAAATAACTTGTGGGACATCAATAATTTTGTTTAATATACAGTATACCCATGTTTTATTTACATATTTTTCTAATATTTGTAAGTTTTATGTTTTAAAATGTATGTAGATTTAAAAAGAAAAATATCTCATACATGCTCTTTTCCGCGACAGGTGAGCGTCTGTTCCCGCTCATCCAGAACATGCATCCCAGTCTGGCTGGAAAGATCACCGGAATGCTGCTGGAGATCGACAATTCCGAGCTGCTGCACATGCTGGAGTCTCCGGAGTCCCTGAGGTCAAAGGTCAGTGCTCATGGGATGCTCTGCCAAGTTATTGGATTTTTCCTGATAGCGGTGATGCTATTATCTCACCACTTTTAGTGATAATGTAATGAAATGTCAAGCATGTCTGTTTCAGATCGATATTCAGAGGAATTTGTAGAAATGTATTGTTTGATGTGGTGTTTAATAAAGCAATAAGCCCCAAGAAGCCATGGTTTACGGTGAATTTATAACAGCTAAGAGGCGTTGTTAGGTACGACGTAAAGTGGAGTGTCTAACAACGCCCCTTAGCTGTTATAAATTCACCGTAAACCACGGCTTCACGGGGGTTATTGCTTTTATAAAACGGTTATTCCATATACGTAGTTAGGTTTCACAAAATAAAACAGAGCAAATAAAGTGTAATGATATTAATAAAAACAGTATTCTTCCACCAAACAATGTAGCTCCTCAGAAACCGTTGTGGTTGCTACAAAGTGGTTGCCAAGCAACACATAAACGTAAACAAAGGTGTGTGTTACTTTGTAGAGTCATTTATAACAGCTTCGAACTGGCTCAGCCAATCAGAATCAAGGACCTATCTGTTTTATAATTATTATTTTTCTAATTCCAGGTGGATGAAGCAGTTGCGGTGCTGCAGGCTCATCAGGCCAAAGAAGCTGCCCAGAAATCAGTCCCCAGCACCGCTGTGCCAGCCGTCTAACACAAGGTGCGAGAAAAACTGCTTTTGCACTTTCATTATATTATGCACTCTTTCTCTGCTTGACTTTTTTCTAATCTTTGACATTTTTATTCCTTTTTCTTCCAGAATGGTTCTCTTTGGCCCTGTCTTCACCGAGAGGGACACATTTAAAAAAAAAAAAAAAGTAAATAAATATCGAAAAACCAGAAACTCGAACAGGAAAAAAACTAAACACGATGACATCCAAATGTTTTGCCAGGTTGAGACTAAATCTTGACCTTGTTTCTATTTAAAAATGTCCAAAAAAATAGAAAACTTTTAATTTTGAAAATTCCAAAACATTCCTTTCTTTTTATTCCTCTTAATGAATGCTCGTTGTCAATTGTGCTCTTGCAGTTGATTGCTGAACATTTGGAAAAGTACATTGGATTAAACTGCTTGGATAAATAAAACTAAACATTTATCATTGTTCATGTGTGTTATTATTAATGATCAGTTTGACCCAATCACGTATTGTGCTGAAATCCTTCGGACACATTAAAGCAGTTAAAAATGCTCTTATTTTAAAAGAGCTGCACATTAGTTTCTCAGAAACGGTTTACAGATGCATAAGCAATAGGGATGTAACGATGAACCGCGAGCCGGTTGAAAATCGATACAAATATGTGACGATTCAGATGCTAAACAAATCGTGATTCAGTTAGGGGTAGGAGTTTATATTGAATGCATGTCTGAGGGGAACTTACTGTCTTTAGAAAAGTCTAGATGGTATTTTTTCTTTTCATCTTGCCTCTGTATAATGCATATTAAGTGTTATATTTCAGTTTCACAAAGAAACGTGCAGCATTTTGTCCAAGCAATAATAAAAGGACACATTTAGTTTATAATTTGTCTTAAATCTAATTTTGTTAAAAAAAAATCGTGATTCTTCTCGTGAGTTGAGTGAATCGTTAGTAAGCAAGCCGTACTGAATGCTGATAAACCTGCATGATGAGAATGTTGACATCGAGTCGTCAAAGTTAGAACATTTCCTTGCTTTGCAAGCTTCACTGAGTGATTGAGAGTTTGTGAACTGAGGTCTCGACCGCTGAAGATCTCTGGGTTAATGCCCTGAAGGTGGTGGTAGGTGAGATCAGGGCATTCGTAACGCGTTTAATGTCTTCAGTCATAAGATGGAGTGACGACGTTTGGCACACGATCAAAGGAGAAGCGTTTCTTGGATGCCTAGTATTTTTGTTCTAGAGTTTTGATGGTTCAAATTAAATGTTAGTTACAAGTTAACCAGAGGTGTAAATGTAATCAGTTACTGGACTTTATCTTTTTGGATACTCTAGTTTTACTGAGTATCAAAGATATTAGCAACTTTTACTTTCTACTTCACTACATTTTTGAATAAGCATGTGTACTCTTTACTTCACTGCAGTTAACATTTTGCATGACATCTAGCTTTTTCTGCAGTAGTTTATTTCTGCTACAAAATAAGTGATATCGCCAAATACAGGGCACTGAAAGTACTATATCTCGTGCGTTTTGCCCTTACCCAAACTTTTGTCAACAAGGATACTTTGTGAATGCGAGTTACTTAGCAATGGCAAACCAAAACAAAGAAACCAGCTCATCCAGTTTTGAAATTGGTGACTTTCTGGAATTTGTTTTCTGTAAGGTGTCTGTACTTTTACTCCAGTATGGTTTTCAGATACTCTTTACGCCTCTGAAATGAACATGAATGAGTTGGCAACACTGAAATGTACAAAAGCCAGCGGTATTAAAGCGATGATTGAGGTGTGCTTAGGATTGAGTTAATTTAGCAGCTTTTGCACAGGTAGCATTGACTTTTTTTTCTTTACATTTTTTTTTTTTATATTATGGTATCCTATTTCATGTCCTATTCATGTGCACATATATAAATGGTACTATTACTGGCAGCACATGAATGAATGCATTAGATAAAAGATGGAAAATATAACATTATGGTGAATTGGTTTTGTTTTTTTTCATTTGAATTAAAGTATACTTGATTATTTTTAAAGAGGACATTGTCACCCTTCAAATCATTAAAATAACAAGTATTTAAAGTATTATATCCAAAAAAGTATAAAGTCTTACTGCTTTCAGTCACTATAAAGTGTATGTTACAGTAAACTGCTAATTCAACATATGTAAATATTCAATCTGGCTTTAATATCTATCAGACCTGTAAGTCTGTGAGTTCTTGATCTATATAAGTACACTAGATGGCAGCAGCAGTAAAATAAATAAGATGATATTTTTAGGGCAATGCATATTTTTTGGTCTATGTTGGCATATGGCTTTGGCGGCCAAAAGTCACAAAAGTCAACTATTTAAGTACTTTTAAATATAAGTAACACTTCCTATTTCTGCTCTATTGTCTTTATATAATGTGTACGTTTTATGTCAACAAACCAAGGTTTTCTAGGAGTCTGATTGATAGCATTGATATGTTTACTATACTTATCTATGATTGACAGGTTTGCAGGAGGGTCGTCAAAATTAAAAAAATGTTTTTATTATTTTTATTTCATTATGTAGGACTAGTTTAAGATATTATGAAAAGGCGAAGCACATAGACAAGTTATATTTATTCATAAAAAAAATATATATATAATTATAAAGACGAGGCCATAGGCGGAGGGTGAACCAACTCCAAAGTAAGGCTAAAAGCAGCCAAATAAACATAATAAAACCATCTTTTTAGACAATAACAAGACATGTGTGCCATGTAGGCTAAAAAATGTTTTAATGGGACTGAATTTGTATTTAACGCAATTACAGTTTAATAAAAACGTTAGAAATGAATAATTATATAACGTTTCCTTTCCACGGTTATTCAAACAGCGAATAAATTATATATAGGTTAGAAAGTGACTATCACTAAAATTGATCTATGGCGAGTTTAAGCACTCTCAAAAAAAAAAAAAACTGGTTATAATCACTGAAGCTGTATTCACTGTGAAATGAATCTCTTACTTACATTGTACGTACATCTGCGCTTTGTTTAAGATGAGAGAATTCGCGAGAGTCCAGAATTCAGTCAGCGAACACGCGCGCACTCAACAAAACTGATCTGTTTCAGCGATGACTCATCTGAACGCTTCTGATTGGCCATTGCATTCCTAAGTGCAACAGAATTGTGTGCGATTGGTTAAAATGCGCAACACTGTAAAAACGCCTAAAATGAAATACGGTGCAACATGAGCAGATTTTAATTTAATGCCGATTTGAGCAGATTTAGGTTTTCCCGCGGAATTGGGCTACTTGCAGGTTGTTTTTCATGTTGTTTTTTGTGGGTTGAAGCGACTCCAATAACATGATATCCCTGTAATGCGAATTTTAGCAGGGCAACCCCGCCAAAAAATGTGTATTTTACCCCCTGGAACATGATTTTTAACCGGGGACCCCCACGAAATGCAATTAGGTTAGTTTTGAGTAGCAATTGATGGGTTTTCTTGTGAAAACCTGGCAACCCTGACCGTTAGGATCCGTGTTCAGTTTTTAGGCGCGAACAGCGAGCACGTGTTCAACTATATTCAGTCAGATATTAAAACCTTGACTTCCGCATCACCACACATCTTATTTGGTGAGTTGGAAACAGTTACTTTTACTAAGCTGACTAAACTGAAAACACTAAACATGTTTCTGAATGTTAATGTGAACTTTAGGTCAGAATACCGATGTATGTTTGAATGCTGAGGCGGATTTGAATCGTGTTGGTGTTATTCGTAACGCGAATAAAGCGTTAAAACTTGACATAATTGAGCAAAATCATCGATATCTCGCTCTATGGGGTTATTAGGCCTTTAAGTGAAAAACCTGATAGTACTCATCTTAGGAAAACAGGTTATTCGGGTTCACCAACCGAAAGAAAACTAAACGATCTTAACCTGGCCTTCAACTTTCCAGCTCAGTCATTCTTATGACCGTCATAAAAGCTGGAATATAAATAGATTCGAGATGTTGTCATTGAGAAACATGAATCATGTCCTGTTGATAAGACTAGTGTGGAATATGAAGGTCATCAATAGGCGCAGTACAAAAAAATAAAAAATAGTGTCAATTCTGGCATTTGACCTGAATTATTTGAATAATGAGATCGTGTAATTATATTTGTTCAACTCTGGCATGATGTTAAACCTCTTGTTCTGTTGTAGTTTTGAGTCAAGGCTGCTGAAAAGCATTCAGTTAATGTCACGTGAATTTAAGCGTAAGTTTATGCCGCCAATACACTTTTCAAGTCAAAGTGGTTAAATGTAGTCTTTCAAACAGTCATAAAACAAACCCACCTTTCAGAATTAATATATAAAATATTAAGTTTACAGGACATAAATGAATTCACATCTACACACACACGCATCTTTCCTGTCAACATGTTTGAATAGTTTTGCAATGTTTTGCCATTGATTTACCAATGAGATCCAAGCCTTGCATGGCCAACTAAACAATCTGATGAGATAAAATCATTCAGTTGCCCGTGCAAGATCCTTATGATTTGGAAACCTTCGCAGGAAAACACGTAGATAAAGTTAGAACGTGTGTTCAGGTTAGTAGATGTTATTGCAGGCCAATGCCTATATATCATTTCACGAACTTCGAGTACGGTATATGATTATTATACAGTGTTATAAAACTCTTCACCTACTTGGCTTTTTCATGTTGTTTACAGCAGTGTTTTCTGACTCTGTTCCTGGAGTTTCACCAACACTGCACATGTTGGACGTGTCTCTAATCAAACACACCTGAAACACATCCACACTGTGTACTTTTTAGGACCTCAAGCAACACATCATTTTATACTGAGAAAATATGATATATATATATAGGTTTTCTTACACAACCTTACACAATTTAAGGAGTATTTAAGAGCAGAAAGTAGCATTTAATGTTGCATGTATTGCAAACAAAAACAAAACAACATCATCCAGTATTTTTGTTTAACTTTCATTCCGTTTTTTTCCGTTTTAATTTTTCTGGACTATTTTTTTAATGGTTAAATTAAATTTTATTAATCAAAAAGCATGTCTAATGAATTAAAATCATGAAACTTAAACAGTTTAACATCAATTTATTAAAAGTTTAACAAAAATTACATGTTTAGGGCCCAATTTTTTTTTTTTTTTTTTTTCCAACCTTATGTTTTATTGTAACCAAATTCTGTGTTTTAGCATGTCTAATTATTTGAAAGCATAAAAACAAGTTTAATTTATTCTTACAATAGCCTTATGATTTTTTTGTGTGTTGTGTATTTACATTAAGGCATAAAGCTTTCATTTAATTTACCTTTTAATGAATGAAAATTAAACTAATTTTATTTATTGGAAAATAAAGGGGATTTAATATTACAATTAAAACATTGAAGAAATATTGTATGATTATTCCTTAAGGTTTTAATAATTTTAGTAGTAGTAGTAGTAGCCTATCACGTACATTCTACTTAACAATAGTAAT